AAAAAAAAAATTGTTTAAAATAAACGTATGTTGCATTGACATGTGCTGTTATTATTATATACTGAGACATTGTGAAAATCGCGTTTTTAACGTAACTTGTAATTAAAATTATAATGGATACAAAGACTATAAATACGTTTAAATAATAATGTTTAAAATAATGATTATTATCTAAGATTTTATTTCTATCATATGAAAAAAACTCTTTTTTCTTCTTTTTAATTCTTCAGAAAGGTTAAAACATGCTCAAAAACCTAGCTGTATGATACATGTAAAATACAGTAGGGTATTCTTAGAGTTTTGGTGGATAATACCTTACCATCAAAATGTGACATCTCATTACGTAACTATAGTTTAAATACTATGGCATCTTACACGTACAACTATTGTACCGTACAGAAGAGAAAAAAAAAACCTTTTAGTATATATAAATATATTTACAGATATGTACACGCATATACATATATTTTTTTAGAAAAAATACAATTTCTTACTACATTATGTTACATTAAAAAAATGTTTTAAAACTACTTATATACATGTATATTTACAAAAAAAAAAAAAATTTTCAATTCTTGACGATATTTTTTTTACAATGATAAGAACTTAAAAACTATAGGTCTTCCGGTGGTGGTATAGCATAATGCCCGTGGGCCAACGTGTCGATTCTGTTGTTGAGCGTGTAGCGCTTATCATCAAAACGGTTAAGCGCCAACTTGGTTGTACGTAAAGTCCGTACCTCGTGCTCAAACGAACGGATTGACACGTTCTGCCGGTACGGAGTGTATGGTAGCGATAATATCGGTGGACACTCACCACCACGTATCACTCCGATGACCGCACGGGCATTCTCTCCAGCCAATTCTCGTTTTGACGCATCGTCACCATCGTCACCATCGTCTTCAAACAAACACCGTTTGTAATCGTCCAAAGACAGATGGTTCCGAACGACGTGTCCGCGGATCCCCTTAGACTTTATGAGTTCGCTGCCTTCCATGTCAAATGCGTAGCACTTTGATCGAAGTGCAGCGATCTCAAAGAGAGTGAGGCCACTGGTCTCGTCTGAAAACAAGCCGGGCATCTTCTTTCTATCGGTGGAGTAGCAAGGGTGATCCTTGGGCAGGCTAGATGCGTCCACGTGCACTAGTAAATCGGGGCTACCAGCTAAATCCTGGTAGAAGTCGCCTACTCTGAGTAGGTATATGAAGGAGTCTGAGAAAAATTAAAAAGAGAGTGAGGCCACCGGTCTCGTCTGAAAACAAGCCGGGCATCTTCTTTCTATCGGTGGAGTAGCAAGGGTGATCCTTGTGCAGGCTAGATGCGTCCACGTGCACCAGTAAATCAGGGCTACCAGCTAAATCCTGGTAGAAGTCGCCTACTCTGAGCAGGTATATAAAGGAGTCTGAGAAAAATTAACAATATATAAATATAAAAAATATTTCTACTGTACGGTTGTACTCACCAGTATCCATGTAAACCAATTCGATTGCACTGCCATAATGTGGTTTCAATACGTCGTAGAAGTACTTGTACATTAGCGTCTTGCTAATGTCAAGCACTGCTAAACCGACGTATATTGGTTTGATAAACTTGACCATCTTTGTGTCCATTATGACGGCGCACAACCTTTCACCGTATTTGATACAGTCGTTGAAGGTTGGTTGGTTTACGAGCTTGCTTAGACGTTCGGGACTGGAGATTAGCTCAATACGGATGCGTTTCNTTGGAGATTAGCTCAATACGGACGCGTTTCCGCATGTTTTCCATTGTTTTCCCTATAAAATGTAAAAAATTATCGAATAACCTACTTTAGCATTGAGTATGCACTTACCAAAGACGGCAT